CAGACATCAACTGCCCAGGAAATAAGGTCAAGAATCAACAAATGGGACCTCATTAAACTAAAAAGCTTCTATACATCAAAAGAAGCAACCAAGGAAGTGAAGAGAAAACCCAGAGTGGGAGAAAATCTTCACCAGCGACACATCTGACAGAGGTTTAACATCCAGAATATATAAAGAACTCAAAAAACAAAAATCAAGAAAGGAAGTAACCCAATTAAAAGATGGGCTAAGAATTTGAACAGAGAGTTCTCAAAAGAAGAATTAAAGATGGCTAAGAAGCATCTTAAAAGATGTTCAACATCATTAGCAATTAGGGAAATGCAAATTAAAACCATTTTAAGATTTCATCTTACCCCAGTCAGACTGGCTAAGATCAAGAGAACAAATGATACCAAATGTTGGAGAGGATGTGGGGAAAGGGGAACACTCATCCACTGCTGGTGGTATCGCAAAGTTGCTCAACCCCTATGGAAAGCAGTGTGGAGAATCCTTAAAAAACTAAAAACGAACCTACCATTTCACCCAGTTATACCATTCCTTGACATATACCCAAAGAACTCAAGTAATGATTTTCATATTCAGCCTCTGAACACAGTAACTATGATTATAAATTTTAGTGTAGCATAGGAGGGAAATAACTGAATTAGATCAAAGTATTAAAAATTTTCACCTAAAGTCAGTTTTAGGTGTCAATGAATGCATGTGGATGGTCTCTGAATCGACTAGAAAGTCAACAGCCTCACCAGGTTCCCTCTGTAGAGAATTGGTGGCGGCCGGCCTGGGTTACCCAGGGCTCCCAGCTGACAGCAAGCACATTTCCAATAGACTCTGACGACTGTGCTCAGGGCCCCTGATGTTGGCCATGCAGTGAGAGGACAGTTTCACTACCAAGGATGTCAAGCAAAAGTATGACAACTGTTAAAGCTTCCAAATGACGCAATAATAGACAGACTAAAATTTTACTTTATTTGTACACATTTAATAGGATAATACAGGATAAAATAATTGGATAGGCATAAACCAAGTAGAAAAAAAATCATCAGGATAAAGTGTCAATGCCATTTTGTGTGCAGGGAGGAGTCAAAAAATGGAACAAATAAGGATGACTAGGGAACAGCCTAAGACTACCCCAAAGTTGCTAGGTTACATAATGTTAGGGTTCAGATTAAGTATTACCGACTTAATCTACAAGTGAAAAAAAAGGGAGTCCAAAATTTATAAGAATTTTTACATTAAATATATAATGATTTGTTTTTCAGAAAGTGATATGGCAACTTCTAAAAGTTTCCTTTATGCAATGACTAGAAAATCTCAAATCTGACTAAGCAGCTGTGCTGTACCATTAAGCTGTTCTGGGCTAGTATACATTTAATACAGAACTAACATTTCAGGTTTTAGAAAGGCAGCAATAATTATATTTTGGCTTTCGTTCTAGATGCTTACCATAGTTAAGGCGACAGTTGAAGCATATTAAGTGAAGGTAGTTAAAATTTAATGACAATCATGACAGTCTCTTGCAACCTACATACACTGTATAATGCTCTCGTGGAATGAAACCAGTGCTGACTGACGGGCGTTTTACACACGCACAGAGAGAACTTAAAAAATAACTCTCGATGGCAGTCATCCTAAATGTACTATGTAATGCACTGAAATACAAATATGCCACAGAACTGAAGTAACACGAATAGCACTATGCTTTATCTAGGAGAAAAGTGACTTTCTCATACACAGCTAAGCCTACATCAGTCATCCTAATCACAATGGCTTATAAAAGCATCAGGTTTCCAGTAGAGAAACTATTCTAGGAAAGTCAGTAAATCTTTTCAAAGTTTCACATCTGTAAAACCAGGATAAGGCTATAGCTATCTTGAAATCTGAAGAAGCCATCATAGAAAGAGGAAGATTCCCAGCCATGGTATAAGAAAGGTTGCCATGCAGCATATGCTCCCTGGCTCCGGGAAAGCTTCATGTGCGTAATGCAGAAGTTGCCGAAGAAGGAAACTGGAAAAGTTCAGCTATGGTGTGTTGCGTTGTGCATGGCTTTTAAACCTCAGGAATGGTGTGATCCATCAGGCTTTTCATAATGCTTGGCGCCATCCTACAAGAGAGTCACTTTCAATATACACTGGTTTTACTTTCAAAAATGCTTTGTTAATCCAAGACAACCCCAATTCCACTACAGCACCTGTTGACATTAATGAGATTGAGGGAGAAGGAAAGCTCTGCTAAATGAGCTCAGATCTAAGGAACGGTGGTGCCTGACTTGTCAGTAAATAGTAAGAGCAGGTATCTGCATCATGGCCAAACAAGCTAGATAAAGCACAAGTCCTCATATGCCAAGGCTGGTGGTTTAATTAAAAAGAAACAAAAACAAAACGGCAAGGCTGTGATGAATTAGAAGGAAAATGGGGGATAAGTGACCTACCCGTAATTAAAAGAACTTTAGAACAATTAGTCTTCCCAACACTATTTTTCCCTTCAAGACTAGCTAGCTGCACTCTACCCAGAAGCCAGTGCTGATGTAATTTCATCACAGGTTATGCTCATGTAGCTTTTAAATCTTATTTTCACATGCGTAATAGAGACTCTGAAAGGAGGATTCCAGGGTAGCACAGAACAACTATGATAGGAGACAGGACTTGAAAACTGGAGAAAGTCAACCCTTGCTGGCCCTTGTCAGTTCTTCTCAATGAACTTTCCCATTCTCAGTTCCTGAGGACAGAAGGCATTCTCTGCCTCCTGGGACACTGGAAGGGATAGAAACTTACACTCTTAATATCCCACAGGCAAGAAACTGCCATCATGAACTACCATGATTAGATTTCTACTAAGCAGACAGTAATGTTTATGCTCATGTCTGTGACTGGCATAAAGTTGAATTGTTCACTTACCGTTTAATAATGTGCTCAAAGATAAAAGCAGGCATGATGGTAATGGTGACTACAGTCCCAGAAGTTGACAGGATGTCTGCGATTTGAGAGTCCTGATGAAACATAAAATGAATTTCAGGGAGGTTTTATTTAATAAACATAAAAATCTTACTTTGGGTCAAGAAATATACAATATGTGCTGCTATCATGCTAATCTCTCTGAAATTCAAACTCTTGCCATGTCTAATTTGTTTTCCATTTTTCCTTTCATTTTACAGACAAATTTTTAGCTGGTAATAAACTGTTATGTAAACTGACTTGAATATACTGAATGAAGTATTTTCTTATTTTAAACATTTTATTTGTCATTTTTATTTTATGTGTATGAGTGTTATGCCTGCATGTAAGTAAGTGCACCTGTGTCATGTAGTGCCCACAGAGGACAGAAGAGGCTGTCAGATCCCCTGGACTGGAGTTACGGACAGTTGGTAGCTGCCATGTGGGTGCCGGGATTCGAACCTGGGTCTTCTCCAAGAACAGTCAGTGTTCTTGAACGCTGAGCCATCTCTCCAGCTCCCAGGACAAAGTATTTTCATTATTTAAGAGTGAGAAACTTTCCCCAGATACAGCTAACAGTATTCTAAAATTTATTAAGAGCTTACTTTGAAACCTTTAAATCTTAATAGTCTTTGAGAATTTATAGTACAAATCTATAAAAAAATTAATATGTACCAAAGCTATTATTCATTTTCTATACTCTGAAATAAGTTGGACATTCATTCATTCAGAATGTCAAAAAATTGTCCTATCTATGTCATCACAGAATTCTAGCTTAAGGACCTTCCGGAATCATTTAGTCTAACCACCTCAATATAGGAAAGGCAATCCCAGATAACATCCCATTCCTGTGATAGCCCAAGAAGGAAGCTTGGGCCAGAGCCCAGCACCCATGCTTTGTATCTCCCACCAAGTTTCTGTTTGAAGGGGGGCAGGGATCAATGTGAAAGCCACCTAACTGATCAAAAGAAGAGGATGTTCTCTAAAATGAAATGGCCACAAAACCTGGTCCAAGGTGAGTTCCTTACCTTCAACCCAATGACATTCTGTCCGTTGATTTCACAGATGTTGTGTTCAGTAAGAAGACCATTTCTGGCAGCAGAACTATCCTTCACTATGGATGTTATTTTTCCACTTTTAAAGATAAAGCCAACATGTCCACTACTGTCTTTATGCATGGTAATAGTCCGTTCAAAGGGCCTGCAAGCATAAGGGGCTGGAGTCAACTGAAACTGTCATTTCACATTTCAATGAAGCTGACATTCCACAAGTTCTGCGACAGTGGATACTTTGTTACAGTAAATGCTAAATGTTTCTAAGACGAACGATTTACGATTTATTATGGCTCTGATATTGTACATATAGACACCTCTGCAATTTTTTTTTAATCTTGTGCTTTCACTGACTTGCTACTCAAGATCTCCTTCTGTTAAGTATGAGACCACAAAACATGGAGGTGATCAATATATCTTTTCCTTAACAATTCACCGTACTTCTGCCTAAACAATGAGATAGCTCTGAACTAAATTATTGAACACATTAGTACTTTTGGGGAGCTTAATTAATCTTAGGAAGTTTAAAAATTTAAATTTTACAGTATTAACATCTTTGAAAATTTTATAGTTTTTTTATGGTTCATTATTATTTTATTAATTTTATGGGTTTACTTTTTATTTTATGTGTATGTATGTTTTGTCTGTTTGTATAAAAGTGCACTGGTGTCATACAATGTCCATGGAAGCCAGAAGAGGGTGCCAGATCCCCTGGAACTCGAGTTCTTCACCTCCATGTAGGTGCTGGGAATCAAACCCAGGTCCTCTGCAAGACCAGCAGATGTTCCTAACTGCTGAGCCATCTCTCTAGCACCATGGTTTTAAAATGTTTTATTACATTTATTTTATGTATGTATATGCATGTATGTGTGTGTAGACACAGAAGAGGTTGCAAGAATCTGTTCTTGCACCACATGAGCCTTGAGACGCAAACTTAGGCTGTCAGGTTTGGCAGCAAGTGCCTTTACCCACTGAACCATCTTGCCGGCCCCATTTGTTTGTTGAGACAAGGTTTTCATTGTGTAGCACATGCTGGCCTCAAACTTGCGATCTCCTCGAGTGCCTGTCTTACAGCGTGTGCCACCATACCTAGCTTTGCTCTAATTTAAAAAAAAAAAAAAACAACCAGTGAGAGGTGCATCCCTTAAGCCCTACTGGAAAGGAAGCATACATCATAAAAAGACATCTAGCTGTCTGCCATAGAGGCTGTCATCCCACTTATACCTGCTCATTCCCTACAGCTCTGCCATCACAATATTGTAAGATTTTATGGCCACCTCATTTGTTTACATTACAAAATTCAGAATAGCTGTACCTTTCTTTCGGTCCAGATTTTTGAAATTCTGCTTATACATAAAAATGATACTGATCTAAAAATGCTTATTAGATTCCTAAATATATCAGAAAGTGAAAAATGCAAAAGTATACAAACTTTAACTTTTGAAAAGAAACCCAAATCCCAGCTCACTGTAGGTCCTAACACTCGTGGGAGCCGAGGAAGAAAACAAAAACAAAAAGGCTCATCTTTCCGAAGTGTTCAGGTCGAAAGTCAACTAACTGCTAAACAGAACATTTATTCACTTGGTAACTAGAGTTCCACCACAACCCCAGAGACCAGATTTTGTTTTCAAAACTCTCAAGAGTTCCCAGAGCTCTGTCTGTCTGAATCTTCACAAGGGCCCTGACAGTATGAGCAGCTCAGGGTGGTGAGTGAGCCCACAGCTGCCATGCTCCTTTGGGGACTTCTCTAACATACACTTTCATTTTCCAGGGTGATAAAGACAGGGCAGTCCTTGCTTACAAGACACAGTCCTATAAACTGTGATACCATGTACATGCAACACTAGAATTCTATGAAAATAATCAAACTATATAAGAAAATATATACCACACAATTGCAGGACTGGAAGGCTCAGCATAGCATCTGATTTTCTCCAAAAAAACAAAAGCAGAAATCTCTATTTACAGAATCCTGCGAAAACGTTAAGTTCAGGCTTGAACTCGCACATATACTGTTAAGTAGTAGCTCACCTGTCACGGATGGTCATCGTAATCTTCTCTCCGAAAGCCTGCTTGAGTACTTTGTGCGCTTTATCAGAGCTCCAGCCTGCACAGTTTTCACCATTGATCTGGAGCACCTGGTCCCCAAACCTCAGACCAACCAAGGAGGCTGGAGAGTTAGCCTGCACCAGCTGAACAAATATACCCTAGATATGAAAACAACTGGTCATTTACCACTGTTGTGTCTGAGAAAAATGGATGATTAGGAATTTCTCTAGAAACCAAGAAAAAGAAAATTATATGTCATCACCCATAAAAAGAAACAATTTATCAAAGCAATACTGCCAAAAAGGCAAAAAATAAGATCTCACTGTCATGACCACCTGACCAACCGCCATCACACTGCCCTTCTTCCTTAAAATCAAATGATAGGAACAGACAACTTTACTAAATGCAAAACTCTATATGCCTCAGACAGAAAGCCAAACATCATTATTTGGAGAGATGATAAGTTCATGTTTGGGGAGTCCAGTTACAGCTTTAAATGATAGTTTTGGGGTAATAATTCTGCCTTTTTAGCTCAAAGATTATTTTACCCATTTCTTAAATTATGCATAATCAATAAAATTAGGACTAAACAAGCATATTAAATATAACGAATACTTATAAATAATCCATTATGAAATGCAGAAAAGTACCACTAACAAATTCACATGAACATTCATATTTAGATAAACTCAATCAGATGTTGAACCAAATATAAAATAGACAAAGGATTAAAGCTAGGGAAATATGGATACATCTACAAGGTTAAACCTTTTCTACAGTTGGTCAGACATGATTTCTGCCATGACGTGGTATGAATAGCAGCACTATTAGATAGTCCCATTAACTGCACTCATGTCTTGGCCAAGTGGACAAATCCAATGCAAAAAGAGAGTGGAGCCAAGGGATCTTAAGGAAAGGATCTTTGCTGCAGTGTACTGAAGAGAGAGGAGAAAGCTTCAGTGAAGTCAAACCTCCCAACCATGCACACTGATGTGTCTTGAATAAGCAATGAATACCCCAGCGAACCCTTAGGCCCTCGGCCTTCTTAGTGGAAAGGCAGAGCTGCTACTTCCTGCCAAGATCAGCCTTCTTCAGTTAAAAAACTGGGCCAAACTCATTTTGTATGTGGAGAGCTGACTCACAGCAGTTAAGGAGCCTTAAGACTGATCGAGAATCCAGTAAGAGTCTCTAAACACAACAAGATGGCGTAAAGACCTGTTACATCCTTAACATTCTAAAATTTGTATCAGAGTAACCCTGTTTCATATATTCAGTTTGGCAAGGTGATAGGTTAAGTAACATAAGATAGAATACTGGCTGCCCTAATTAGAAAGAAACTTGCTCAGAAAATGGCCTATTAAATTCAAATTTTAAAGACAGAAATAGCAAATCTATAAAATCTTCTCAAGTTCTCATCACTTGGTTTAAACATGCACACACCTCAATTCTCACCTGTCAGTTGGTACTTTACTTTTACATATGCTACCCTATTTCAATCCCAGAATCCTACTGTACAGACTTTGTTGTATAGTTTATAAAATATGTAAGACCATTGACATTGATTTCCACTCAGAATATTCAAAAATTAGAAAACATTGTTCACAGAAATCTGCTTCAAAGTTCCAACATGACTTCTTCAAAACAGGGTGGCATCGAGTGAAAAACAGTGTTAGTAGATTCATAACATGTTCCACTATAGGTGTATCATGACAACGAACTGAACCATTTTCATTTCTACTTTTTTCTAATACTAGTCACTTAATATTCTATGACCTACTTGGCTTGAGTTCAAATTATAT